ATGGGTCAAAGAAGAAATTGAAAGGGAAATCAGAAAATATCTTGAGAGAAAAAAATGGAAACACAACATAGTAAAACTTATAGACTATAGCAAAGCAATTCTAAGAGAAAAGTTAATAGTGATTAAGGCCTACTTTAAGAAAAAGATAAAGCTCCCAAGTAAAAAACCTAACTTTACATCTCAAGAAGCCCAAAGTTGGCAGAAGAATGGATATAATAAAAATTAGAGCAGAAATAAGTCAAATAGAAAATAAAAAATAATAGAAAAGAACAACAAAACTAGAGCTATATTTTAAAAAAGATAAACTAACATAACACAATAAAAAATAATGGCAAATTGTCAGATTTATTCTGTATTTAAATAAACAGATATTAGTGAGAGAAATGGTAAAAAAAATAAAAAAGATAAGGTAAATTGACAAATCTTTAGATAGACCAAGAAAAAAAGAGAGAAGACTCAAATAAAATCAGAAATGAAAGAGGAGGCATTAAAACCGATACCACAGAATTATAAACAAAGACTATTATAAACAGTATATATCAACAAATTGAAAAACTTAGAAGAAATCAATAAATTTCTAGAAACGTACAAGCTACCAATATTGGATCATGAAGAAATAGAAAATCTGAACAGACTGATAACAAGTAAGGAGATTTACTTGTTAATCAAAAACCTCCCAACAAACGGGTGCCTGGGTGGCTCAGTTGGTTAAGCATCTGACTCTTGATTTCTGCTCAGGTCATGATCTCAAGGTCATGAGATTGAGCCCTGTGCTAGGCTCTGCACTCAATGGGGAGTCTGCTTGAGATTCTCTCCCTCTCCTTCTGCCTCTCCCCCAACTCACATTCTCTCTCTCTCCCTCTCTGTATCTCAAATAAATAAATCTTAAAAAAAAAACAACTAAAGCCCAGAATCAGATGACTTCACTGGTGAATTCTATCAAACACTTAAAGAATTAACTCCAACCCTCTCAAACTCTTCCAAAGAAATGAAGAGGCAAGAACACTTCTAAACACACTTTATGAGGTCAGCCAAACAAGTACACTACAAGAAACAAAATTGCAGGCCAATATCTCTGATAAGCATAGATTAAAAAAATCCTAAAATGAAATGTTAGCCAACTGAATTCAACAGTATATTAAGAGGATTATGTGGAATTTACCCCTGGGATGACCCAGTTTGTGCAAGACAATAAATGTGATACACTAAATTAACAGAATGAAGGATTAAAATCTAAGGATCATCTCAATAGATGCATAAAAAGCATTTCACAAAATTCAACATACTTTCATGATAAAAAAAATCAACAAATTATGTCTAGAAGGAAATTATCTCCCATATATGACAAATCCACAACTAACATCATAGTCAACAGTGAAAAGCTAAAAGCTTTTCCTTTCAGACCAGGAACAAGGCAAGAATGCTTACTCTTGCCACTTCTATTCAATATAGTGCTGGAAGTCCTAGCCAGAGTAAATAGGCAAGAACAAGAAATAAAAGACATCCAAATCAGAAAGGAAGAAGTAAAAGTTTCTGTTTGCAGATGGTATTATCTTATAAAAAGAAAACCCTAAAGATTCTGCCAAAAAACTGTTGGAACTAATAAACACATTCAGTACAGTTGAAGGAAAAATGAGTTACATTTCCATACACTAGCAAGAAATTATTTGAAAAAAGAAAGAGAGAAACAATCCTACTTACAGTAACATCAACAAGAATAAAATATTGAGGAATAAATTTAACCAGGGAAGTGAACAGTCTCTATACTGAAAACTACAAAACATTGAAAGAAATTAAAGAAAACACAAATAAATATAAAAACATCCTGTGTTTATGGCTTGGAACAATTAATATGTTAAAATGTTCATATTATACAAAGCAATCTACAGATTCAATATAATCCCTATTAAAATTCCAATGGCATTTTTTTTCACAGAACTAGAAAAAAGAATCCTAAAATTTATATGGAGCCGCAAAAGATTCTGACAGTCAAAGCAATACTGAACAAAAACAAAGCTGAAGACATCATACTTCTTTTTTTTTTTTTAAAGATTTTATTTATTTATTTGACAGAGAGAGACACAGTGAGACAGGGAACACAAGCAGGGGGGAGTGGGAGAGGGAGAAGCAGGCTTCCTGCCGAGCAGGGAGCCTGATGTGGGACTCAATCCCAGGACCCTGGGACCATGGCCTGAGCCGAAGGCAGATGCTTAACGACTGAGCCACCCAGGGCCCAAGACATCATACTTCTTGACTTCAAACTATATTACAAAACTATACTAATCCAAAACTGGCGTAAAAGAAGACATATAGAATAATGAAACAGAATCAAGGACCCAGAAATAAATCCACACATTTACAGTCAACTGGTCTTCAACAAGAGTGCTAAGAACACACAATGGGGAAAGAATAGTCTTTTCTGTATAATGTGCTGGGAAAACTGAATGTCCACATGAAGAAAAATAAAATTGGGCCCTTATATCTCACCATGTACAAAAATAAACTTAAAATATATTGATGACTTACATATAAGACCCAAAACTATAAAATTATCAGAAGGAAACATAGGTAGAAAACTTTGTGGCATTGGTCTTGGACATGATTTCTTGGTTATGACCCCAAAAGCACAGGGAACAAAAGAAAAATAAGCAAATGGGATTGCATCAAAATAAAAAGCTGATGCACAGCAAAGGAAACAATCGAAAGCATGAAGAGGTAACTTGCAGAATGGGAGAAAATATTTGTAAGCCTTATATCTGACAAGGGGGGTTAATATCTAACATGTATAAGGAACTCTAACAAATCAACAAGAAAACAAATAACCTCATTAAAAAACAAGTAAGGACCTGAATTGATATTCTCAATAGAAGATGTACAAATGGCCAATAAGTACATGAAAAGATGCTCAACATCACTCATCATCAGGGGAATGCAAAGCAAAAACCACAATGAGACATCACCTCACACCTGTCAGATTGATTATTATCACAAAGATAACAAGCACTGTCTAGGAAGTGGAGAAAAGAAACCCTGTGTGCTATTGGTTGGAATGTACTTGGAGTAGTTATTATGAAGATTCCTCAAACAATTAAAAATAAAACTGCCATAGGATCCAGCAATCCCACTTCTGGATATCTATCCAAAGGAAATGATACTAGTATCTTCCAGAGACACCTGCTCTCCCACATTCACTGCCCCATTCTTTTTCTTTTTCTTTTTTTTTAAATTTTTTTATTGTTATGTTAATCACCACACATTACATCATTAGTTTTTGATGTAGTGTTCCATGATTCATTGTTTGTGCATAACACCCAGTGCTCCACGCAGACTGTGCCCTCTTTAATACCCATCATCAGGCTAACCCATCCCCCCCCCCCCCTCCCCTCTAGAACCCTCAGTGTGTTTCTCAGAGTCCATCATCTCTCATGGTTCGTCTCCCCCTCCAGTTTCCCCCCTTCATTCTTCCCCTCCTGCTATCTTCTTCTTTTTTTTTTCTTAACATATCTTGCATTATTTGTTTCAGAAGTACAGATCTGTGATTCAACAGTCTTGCACAATTCACAGCGCTCACCGTAGCACATACCCTCCCCAATGTCTATCACCCAGCCACCCCATCCCTCCCACCCCCCACCACTCCAGCAACCCTCAGTTTGTTTCCTGAGATTAAGAATTCCTCATATCAGTGAGGTCATATGATCCATGTCTTTCTCTGATTGACTTATGTCACTCAGCATAACACCCTCCAGTTCCATCCACATCGTTGCAAATGGCAAGATCTCATTCCTTTTGATGGCTGCATAATATTCCACTGGGTATATATACCACCTCTTCTTGATCCATTCATCTGTCGATGGAGATCTTTCACTGCCCCATTCTTTACAATAGTCAGTATATGGAAACAATCTAAATGTCTACCAGCCAATGAATAAATAAAGACAACAAGGCACAGATACACAATGGAGTATTATTCACCCTCAAAAAAGAAGGAAATCCTGCCGTTGTGACAATGTGGATGAACCTGGAGGACATTACGCTAAGTGAAATTAGCCAGACTCAGGTGAATACTGCATGACCTCACTTTCATGTGGAACCTAAAAAAGTTGAACTCACCGAAGCAGAGAATAAACTGATGTTTTCCAGGCGGTGGGGGAACTGGAGATGCTGGTCAAAGGAAACTTTAATTTATAAGATAAATAGGTTCTGGAGATCTAATGCACAGCATGGTGACTATAGTTAATAGTAATGTATACTTGAAATTTGCTAGGAGAGTAGGTTCTGAGAGTTCTTACCAAACACTCACACAAAAGGTAAGTGAAAAGATAGAAATGTTAATTAGCTCCATTCTGGTACTTATTTTAATAATATATGTATATCAAAACGTCACCTTTTATATCTTAAATATGCACAATTTTTATTTGTCAATTATACTTCAATAAGCCTGGGGAAAAAGAACGCAGTGTGCCTTAGGTTTTCCCTGTGCCTTACTCACCTCCCATCTGGGTCCCTCCCTGCCCCTGTGTTCTTTATCTGCCCATCACTGCTGTGGTTCGCATTCGAGTATAGGGGAAGGAGATCTCTTTTGTGTTAGAGACCATGCCCTCCCCTGCCCAGGACCAGGACCTGGGCTTGTCATGCAAGCAATAAGTATATGTCCTTTGCAGAGAGAAAAGGAAGGTCTTCTGTGAATAAGGCAGTAGGAACAGCAAATATCATACATTTTCTGGACTTCTTGAAGTAATATTTCTTGTAGGAAAACAGTGAATAGATCCTTAACTGTTGGGGTCACTGGGTTCCCTCGCCTGTAGGATTGAAGGTTTATCCCAGCTCTGACCATTCCTTCAGCCCCGAGGGAGAAGCCCCTGAGCTGGATGGTGAATCCTGAGAATGTAATCTCCCCACACAGGAAAGAATGTCTGAGCCCCAAGAAGGGGGAGAGAGCCCAGGGGGAGGGAGAGGCTGTCCGTGCCCCACCTGGGGACCCCATTAGCAGTTCTACTCACCCAGGACCAGCACGGACACCCACAGCAGCATGAAGACCTGGCCTGCCTAGGGCTGAGACCAAAAGAGAGGTTTTCTCAGGAGTTTTGGTCTTAGAGTAGTATGTTGCCCGGCAGCCCCAAGGAGCACATCCGAAAAACTTCTTTTTCAAAGAGCAAGAAGCATTAGTGAATTAGAAAACAGGAAGTGAAAGTCCCCATTTTAACTCTTCATCAAAATTTCCTGCCCTGTGATCAAAGTGAGAAAATAATGCTAGGGTTTTTAAAAAGCACATATCCTTGTCCTCACATTTTTAATGTCGAGAAATTACCTCAAGGAAAATATGCACAGTCTAAGAGAACGTGGGTAGTAGCGTCATTCATGACTGCCAAAGCACTACAGGCACATGAAAGATCGTGAAGGTGGGGCTGTTTATAAATATTCTGATACATCTTTACAACAATACACAACGCAGCTATTAAGGAGGAGGCCAACCCGCACAGATCAGCAGGCAACACCACCCTGGCCAGGGGGAAGAAGAGAAAGTAAGGTGGAGATTGTTACATGTAGTGTGGTCCCAGGGGGGTACATGTGAGAAACGGAATCCATGTCGTGCATCAACTGAGAGAAATACACTTTTTTTTTTCCTGAAAAGTATACTTAAAATAGTAGTTGCATTTAAAGAACTGTGGATGGGAAGGAAATATTTGTTTTATGTCTTTCTATATGTATGTGTATTGCTTTTATAAGTTTTTAACTCAAGTTTCCATCCTGGTCAACAAAGAGCCTGAAGACATTAGTACCATGAGGAATGCCAATTTCTTCCTTTCCAATAATGTTTCTTACCCCTTTTTTCAAGGTTCATGCCTTGCTCTCCTAAGGGGACATTTCACATCTACAAATGCACATCACCTTACATATATAATGCTACCTCCCACCTACTGTGCTCAGAGACAAGAAAAGTATGTAAGGGTAAATAGAGATTAATCCATCTTAGTCCAGCAAAGAGGCTTTACATGCTTTTGGATACAAACAGCGCTGCTGTGAATATTCTTGAATAGTTCTCCCGGTGCGTGTGTGCACGCATTTCTACTGGGCACACACCTGGGAGCGGAATCCATGGCTTGTAAGGCTTGCATGTATTTTTAGAAGGTACCATTAAATTATTTTCCAAAGTGGTTGTGCTAATGCACAGCCCATCAACCAAGGTGTGCGAGTTCTCGTTGCTCTAAAATCCTTGATGATATTGGTATTATATGTAGTCTTGTAAATTTTAGCCCTTCTGCTGGGATGATCTCAATATGGTTTCAATTGTTGTGTCCCTGGTGAATTTTGCAGTTGAGCAACTTTCATATTTTAGTTGGCAATTTAGATATTCTTTTTTAATGTGAAACATCTGCTCAAATCCTTTCCCATTTTTCTATTGGTTTTTCAGTCTTTCTCATTCTGTACTGTGGGGCTTTTAAAGCTGGATGTCTGTCCTTTTTCAGATACTTATTGCAATGTCTTCCCTGGTCTGTGGTTTGCCTGTTCCCTCTGTGATAAGAGCCTTTGACAAACCACCACTCTAACTCTGATGTGCCCTTTATCAATCTTTTCCTTTATGGTTAGAGCTTTTTCCGTCCCTTCCAGGAAGTTTTATCTACTCCAAGCTCTTGCAGCTGTTCTCCTGTTAGTTTCTAGAAATATTTATCTTACTTTTATTTTATCTACAGTGTCATTGGAATTGACTTTTGCCTATAAGTAAGGGTTTATATTCACCTACAAATGGCCACTTTGCCTGGTTCTCATATTTATTGAAAATTCAGGCTTTCCACAGCGCTGTGGAATTTCCCCTTTGTCATAAAACCAACACCCATGTGGTCTGCTTCTGGAAACTGTTCTCTTCTGGTCAGCTGTCTGTTTTCATGCCAACACCACACTGTCCTAATTAATATTGCTTTTTTATTTTTGTTTTTTTAAAAGATTTTATTTATTTATTTTGAGAGAGAGAGAGAGGGAAAGAGCGCGCGCGAGAGAGTGCAAGAAAGAGTGTGAGTGCACTAACAGAGGGGGAGGGGCAGAGGGAGAGGGAGAAGCAGGCTCCCCGCTGAGCAGGGAGCCCGATGTGGGACTCGAATCCAGGATCGTGACCTGAGCCGAAGGCAGACACCTAACTGACTGAGCCACCCAGGTGCGCTTAATTTTTTAGCAAGCCTTATTATCTAATAATTTTTCATGCAATATTATTCTTTCTCAACAAATCTGTGGCTGTTTTGGTCTCTTTATATTTTTCTGTGCATTTAAAAATCAACTTATGAATTCCTACTGTTACCTTCTCAAAAAAACAGAACAAAACCAGAAACCCACTGGATTTTTAATACTTGGAATTGTGCTGACTTGGTAAGTCAATTTATATAAATTAACATGGAGTGACTCTTCCAATCCATAATTATGGAATATCTCTCCATTTATATAGGTCAGCTTGAACTTCTCTCAAGAATTTTCTGTAACTGTCTTGTAGAAGTTACATCTTTCATTAGGCTTATTCCTAAAATATGTTGATATGTATTTTTGATGTCATTTTAAATGACATCATTAAAGGTTTTTTCTAAATATTTATTGTTGGTATATAGCTACATTTTTTTTCTGATTTTCTGTCAATTACCAAAAGAATTATGTTAAAGCTTCCCATTATAATTTTGAATTTGTCTACTTCTTTCATTTCTATCCATGTTTTCATTTTATATTTTGAAGTTTCATAGGGTGAATATACATTTAGAATTATTATTTCTTCCTAGTGGTTTAACACACCGTATTAAATGTCTGTCTTATCTCTATATGTTTCTTTTAAAATTTTTTAAATTTAAATTCAATTTAATTAACAAATACTGTATTATTAGTTTCAGAGGTAGAATCTAGTGGTTCATCAGTTGCACATAACGCCCAGTGCTCATCACTTCAAGTGCCCTCCTTACTGCCCACCCCCCAGTTTCCCCAACCCTCCATCCTACCCCCACTCCAGCAAACCTCAGTTTCTCTAGATGTTTCTAACCTGAGAACCACATTGGAGGGGGCTCATCTACCTTTGGACCTGATTTAGAGGATTGAATCTGAATCTGAATCTGATGCTGTGATTGGATAAGTCTTTGGGGGTCTCTGGAGGTGGTGGGCTTATTTTTCATATAAGAAGGATGTGAATATTTGTGGCCAGAGGATGCACTGTCTCCAAAGAGACAACTCTTCTCACAACTGTATGTGCATTCTGCTCTTCCCATCAGAAAGTTCATTGTATATCCTTTACGCTTGAATCTAGCTGACCCGTGACTTGCCAATAGAACATGACAGAAGTAAAGCTGAGCACGTTGGAGCCTGGCCCTTCAAAGTCCTGGCAATGTTCATATTTATTATCTTGGAGCCAGATACTACCTCTTGCGAAGTCGGAGTGCCCTACTGGAGAGTCTTACCAACTGCAGCTGCCCCAGCCTCCCCAGACAAGGCACCAGACGTGTGAATGAAGCCATCTCGCGTGTTCCCACCCGGCTGCATTCCTAGAAGAATGCAGCTACCTGAGGGACCCTAGCTGATCCAGGTGCATGGACAACCAACAGCATCATTGTTGTTTTAAGCCACAAGGTTTTGGGGTGGTTTTATATGCAGCAATAGGTAACTGAGATTGGCTTTTGATGAAGGAATACTGTTTCATCATTAAGTAATAATTCATTTATCCCTAATAATGCCTTTGTCTTCAAGTTTATTTTTCTAATTAGATCAAGCTTGTTAATCATGTCATTCAAATCTGCACTCTTCCTAATTTTAGTCTGCCTCAGCTTCTGCTTTTTTTATGCATGTATGTTTTAATTTTACCTTATTCTTTCTAATTTTTATATTTTATTTCTCTTGGCCTTTAATCATTCGCTAGACATTTACCACTCACTAGATAGCCACATGCTCCCCATGTCCCAGCTTCCAAATAGCAGAGGACCATAGACCTGTCTGGTGGGCTGTGAGTGAAACCAGTCCCTGCTACTTCCAGCCTAAAATAGACAAGAGCAGGTGTGCGTGTCCCAACAGCCCGTGTGTTCCAGAGAGCGCAAGTACAAAGTGAAACCCGGGTCATCTTCCCTTTTGGGGGGAGCTCCCAACTCATATTGGATATGTAACTTGAAATAAAAACTTTAACTTTTAGGGTACAGTAGGGAATATAGTCAGTGGTGTTACAAAAATCTAGCTGTGAAACTATCTTGAACTGATGGTTTTTTAATAAGGTTATTCCTTGGTAATGGTCTAAATTTCTGCCATGATAATTTATCTATTTCAGACTTTCTTCCTTATCTCAAAATAACCAGCTCTTGAATTTTATTACAGTTCTTTTTCCTGTTTTGTAATTTATACATTTCTGCTTCTCTTAGATGTACTGTTTTCTTCAAATTATTCAGTAAAATGTTAACCTATTTTAATTTTTTTCCTGTTGAACAGTATGAATACTTAAGGCTATGGATTTTTTTTCTGTGCTTTAGCTATATTTTGTAAGTTCTGATACAGTCTTTATTACAGCATGTCCTAGATAGTTTACAATTTCAGTTTTGATTTTCTCTTTGAAACAGGAATTTTTAGTTTTCAAATACCTACATGGTAGATTTTTCTTTTTCTATTTTTTGATATTAATAATGATGTTTTGTTAACCATTCCATTTTAATCAAAGAATATGGTGTGTACATATCCTAGTTTCTGGAATTTACTGGGAGTTTCTGTGACCTTAAAGTGGTCTTTGTTGTTGTTCTTAAATATTCCATTAAAAGGAGTGTGTATTCTTTATCTTAAAGAAAGAAAGTTCTAGGGCGCCTGGGTGGCTCAGTTGGTTGAGCGACTGCCTTCGGCTCAGGTCATGATCCTGGAGTCCCGGGATCGAGTCCCACATCAGGCTCCCTGCTCGGCGGGGAGTCTGCTTCTTCCTCTGACCCTCTTCCCTCCCGTGCTCTCTGTCTCTCATTCTCTCTCTCTCAAATAAATAAATAAAATCTTTAAAACAAAAAACAAAACAAGAAAGAAAGTTCTACATTTATTTAGGAGAACCAGCTGATTAAATATGTTAAGTAAAACTTTAGTATTCTCATGTAACACTTACTTTTGGTTGATTTATAAATTGTAAAATTATGTGATCTGATAGATGGAAACTCATGATC